TGACAATGACCCCAAACACACAGCCAGGATAACTAAGGAGTGGCTCTGTAAGAAGCATTTCAAGGTCCTGGAGTGGCCTAGCCAGTCTCCAGACCTGAACCCAATAGAAAATCTATGGAGGGAGCTGAAACTACATGTTGCCCAGCGACAGCCCCAAAACCTGAAAGATCTGGAGAAGACCTGTATTTGATTAGTGGGCCAAAATCCCTGCTGCAGTGTGTGTAAACCTGGTCAACAACTACAGGAAACGTCTGACCTCTGTAATTGTAAACAAAGGTTTCTGTACCAAATATTACTGTAAGTTCTATTTTTCTATTGTATCAAATACTTATTTCATGCAACAAAATGGAAATAAATTATTTAAAAATCTAACAATGTGATTTAGTGGAATTGTTTTGATAGATTCTGTCTGTCACAGTTGAGGTGTACCTACGATGAAAATTACAGATCTGTTCGTTCTTTGTAAGTGGGAGAACTTGGAAAATCGGTGGTGTATCAAATACTTATTTGCCCCACTGTAAGTCATTTAGAAGTCTTGTCATTGTTAGAAGATGCTTTGTTTTTGCTTGGGGGACTTGTCGGGGGTTTTGTTGTTGGCACTTCAGGCTCAGGTTTAGCACACACTCCATCAGTGTGTGGAGGAAAATCTGTGAGGCCCTTCTTCATGTCCATCTGTTCTTTGTTGTGCCGCCTCTGAAATGTTCTCTTCTTTTCTTCCTGCTGTTTCAGAAGAGAAGCAAAGGCAAGAAGGCGGAGCAGACTGAGGAGGAGCGGAGCTGCAGAGATGGAGGTGAGTGGTTTATACGTCTCTGATTCAGGCTGTGGGTTTCCTCCTCTGACTCGTCTCAGCCTCAGTGCTCTCTCGCTTCCTGTTTTCTGAGCCGAGTGTCACGAATCCATCTGAGAGATTTCAGCATGTTCCTCACAGGACAAGGTTTTTACCAAGTGTTTATGGATCGAAGAGCCCAGAAGCCAGAGTTCCTTCTGTTTGTGATTGGAAATCCCAAAGAATCGGCAGATTCAGCCTCGTGGGAAGGTGAAGGCTCAGGAAGCATCCAACTGATTTTTTGTTTAGTTGCTGATTATTCTGCTCTGTCTTCTAGAGCATCAATGATTAATCAATTAGTTGGTCAACATCAGTAGCAGTTTTGATAATCACTTAAGTTTTCGCCATTTTTAAGCAACAAGCCAAATATTTGCTGTTTGTCAGGATTTGACACTTTTCCAAACATGTTTTAGTTACAAACAGTTGAAGAGTAGAAGCCGGTCGATGGGCTTTTTACACAGAATAGTTAATTGTTTAATCAAGACAATAATCAGCAGATGTTTTGTTTTACATGTGAAATTTGGGACATGACCTACACTGAATGTGTTTTGAAGATGGGTCACTGACACCACGTGACCTTCATCGGCAGCACGGCTTCATCCAAAACTGGACGTTTAAAATGCACGTTTTTCTGAGCACATGTGGTTCTCAGGTGTTTCACATGCACGTTTTGTAGGCGCCTGCTCTTGAACATTTTTTACCAAAGTGCACAATGTAATGAAGCCCAGAAACCCCTCCCCGTCCCTTGCAGTTAACTAGATTTCTATAACCTAGTACCAGTCTGTAGAAAACGGATTTATTATCCGCTGGTTTTTTCCATTTGTCGTTTCACCTTCAGGAACGGCGGCGTCCCCTCTGTGACCTTTAGGGATGCATCCATACCGCTTCTTATCAGACCAAGTACGAGTACTTACATTAGTACTTACATTCCAGTACTCACCAATACCAAGTACTTCATGATGCAGTGTTTCTACTCTAAAAACTACACATACTATAAACGTGTAATGACTTTGGAGACGGTTTTTAATTTCATGAGATTTACATTCATATAGTGATTAAACAGAACGTCCGGTGTACCAGGTGGCTGTGCAGCTTTCCAGAAATTAGCCGGCGTGAGGCTAACGTAATGCTGCCGTTCACTGGTATCAGAGGACAACTTTTACGAGTTGGAGCAGAGTACTACAGGGTGGTATTGGCATCGGTGCATCTCTAGTGACTTGGTGGCTGAACACCTGGTCTTTGCGTCTCAGCTGAATCAAACTAAATGTGGTCTTTGTTTAAGATGACGTCTTGGTGCTCAGACAAGCCCAGACCTGCTCCAGCTCAGTTGGTGCTCTTGGAAAGCTCTACTGTGTTACATAACAATGAAGACCCACCAGGCTGTGACATGTTTGCCATGTTTTCTGCCAGGTACAGGTTGTTTTCTGAGGTGCTCAGTAAAATCCTGTCAGTGGAAGGTCGGGTCTTGACAGTGTTAATCATTACCCTCATTAAGTGTGAGACAGCTGAGACGTGTGGAGGACGGCAGTCTGCGTTCATCACACTGAAGACGTCACTGAATCTGAATGAATGAATGAATGTGAGAGCGTGCGTCTACACGTCGATGATGTAACTGACGGGATGAAGTTACACGACAGGGATGAACGTTGATCTGCAGGTTCAGAGCTCTGTGTGTGTGACTGTTGAATGTGTTTGTTGGTTTTATTTCCTTGACATCACAAATGTGACACGAACCTGAGGAGACAAAAACAACCACTGTCAATCACAGACAATCGACTAGTGACTTCAGAAGTAATTTAATTATTTAGCTGTTTGCACATTGAAAAACACAGTGATCATAAAATACATGGACGTTTACAGAGACCCATTTGTCGCTGTTCCCAACATATACTGAGGCGTGTGTGAATCCAAGGCAGCTTACGGCAGAGGGAGGAAACTAAAGGGATGTTTAAGCACCCCACAGCTCCCACGTAGCATATATTCTCTCTGTATTATATTGTGTTCTTGTTGTATTTTTATTGTGCTTCTTTCACCTGCTGCTTTAAAGTGCCTTAGATTCTGTGTTATTTATTTATCTACTTTATATTTCACTTGTATTTTGTGGCATTCATGTGCACGGCAAAGTAAGAATTTCATTGTACAGAGAAACACGTTTCCTAACTGTGCATATGACAAATAAACACTTTGACCTTTGACGTTTTGCTCGATATCTCCCCTCGGTAACCCACCGACTTTGAGCTCCACCTGGGTTCGGGCCGTTTGTCCCGCTCTGTAAAATGTCACCCTATCAACTAAGATGCTAACAACTAAAATAAGGATGCACAGTCATGGTTGTATGATAAATTTGACTGTGTTTTATTTAAAGTTGATTAACGGACCATTCCAGTGCTTTGGTTTTCCATTTTAGATGTTTTACAACGAGGTCTGAGTTGACTCGGGTTCAGACTTTATTGACAGCTCGTCTGGTTCAGTGAGTGCTGTGAAATGTTTTGTGCTGTTTGGTGTTCCATGTGTCTAACTCACGGTGCGACCTCTGCTGTTTGCAGCTGACGTGTGTCTGGAGAAGCAGCTGGAGCACTTCGAGTGGCAGCTGAGGATTTTAAAGGAAGTGCTCTCGGCCAGCGGGAACCCAGAGAGGGCTGAGCTCCTGAACGACCACGCTGATGAAGATGTGTGTGCCCTTGTCCTAAGCATCCTCGATAAGGTGAGGAGAGGAAGATGAGGCTGCAGTAAAGACACAGTCAACATAAGACAGATTGAGCCTTGATGCTCAGAACATCGCTCTGTTGTCAGGCGAGACAGTGTCGTTTGTGCCAGTAGGTTTTTAAGACCAACGGTTACACGTTATGGTTTGACAACTGTAGAAAATATGACTACAGTAACAAAATACATGAGAACAAGACAGAAGAAAACTGCAACATCTTGTTTAACATGTAGGAGGTAGGAGAACAGCAGTCTGACTTGGCTCATATTCCTGACCTTGGTAAAAAGCTCATTTAAGGTCAGGAACCTACTGACCTGGAGCCTGCAGCTTTCCATCACATGCTTTGTTTGCTGACTGGATTTTACATCTGGTGATGACACATTAATGAAAACCATGCCCATAGTAGAGCTCTGCTCTGATAACGAACCCTTCTAGATCTTGCTCACTGCTCCAAATGGAAGCTGCAAAGTAAACCGGTGGTTGCTGATACATTGTGTGTGTGTTTCTTGAAGCTGAGATGTGATGACACATCTGTTCGACAGCTGGAACTTGGTGTAGCACCACCTCCTGAGGGGTGCTGA